TAATGGGTGTATATAAAAAGCATTTTATTTTCAAAACAGAGGATATACCTCTTTTTCTATTACCTATGGAATATTCATGAAAGTTGATCATGTTTTACCAAAAAGAAAATCTCAATAAATTTCCTAAAGAAAAAAATGTTCGGGGCATATTTTTGACTACAGTGCAGTACGATTAGCAAATGGTTACCAAAATATACAACAATAAGAAAGTGTAAAAAACAAAACAAAACACCACTTTCTAAAAGAAAATTTAAAATAAACAACAAATGTTAGAAGCGAATGGCAAAGATAACTGCAAATGGAAACACAGAATGATATGGAAGGTATATCAGAAGAAAATTCAGAGTCCAAAATGCTTTTCTTACTGAACAAGAAAGAATGCAGATTAGTAAAATAAACACTGAATCTAAGAATGGGAGGTGGAGAGAGAACAAAATAAGCATAAGCAAATGAGAAAGAGCACATTTTATAAAGATATAGAAATTAATGCCTTAGAAAAATCATAAAAATGATGAATCACAGGGGTAGTTCTTAAAAGAACAATAAAATGTACCAGCTTCTGCAGAGCTAATCAAGAATAGAGAAGTCATGAACGCAGAACATGAAGAATGAGAAATGCAGTAACAAAAATGCAGAGACTTTATTTAAATCATCAAATTACTGTATGTAACACTTTATTAATGGTTCTGAAAATATCAAAGTAGCAAAATTGCCTTAAGAGATAGGGCACTTCAAGGAACAAAACCTACCTAAAAGGACTTACTAGTAAATTCTATTAACGAGCTAATTGCCCAGCCAGCATGGCTCAGTGGTTGAGCATCGACCTGTGAACTGGCGGGGAAGTGGGGGGTCATTGTTCAATTCCTGGTCAGAACATATGCCCAGTGTGGGGTGTGCAGGAGGCAGCCAATCAGTGATTCTCTCTCATCGTTGATGTTTTTATCTCTCTCCCTCTCCCTTCCTCTCTGAAATAAATAAAAATATATTTAAAAAAATAAACCAGCTAGTTCGTGTGATTAATAAATTGATGGATGCAGACACAATCGGTGCAGAGAAGGAATGGGTAGATGGGAGGGTGGAGAGAAGCACTGGGGCCTGGACAGGCAGAACTGGAGAATGTAAAGGGGCTAAGAATGAGGCGGGAGGAAGGGAGTTTTAAGACTGGATGACCTCCCGCCAAACGACCATGGCCCACAACCTTCTGGGCTGACAGAATCCCCTCTGAAAGCCTCAGGTTTGGTCCTCCCTGAAGCTGACAAGCCGTGCACACAGGACTAGAGGTCCAGTGTTCACAGGCTCCTCCAGACAGATCAATTAAGCCAGGAAAGCCAGATCCTGACAATGCCCAAGCCCTTCTAGGATCTGCCCTTCCCTCCCCAGCCACCCTTCCCTCCCCAGGAGCCCGCAGGTGCAGTCTCTCCAGGGGGCAGTGAGAGCCATGAATAGTAAGGGTTTTAGCTCAAGCACACTGAGGCATTTAGCTGCCCAAACCTAATCCCCAATAATCGGATTATGTAAATTCCTACTTCAACCCCATCCCTTGCAGGACCCAGCCCCTGAGCTCTCCACACTGGGAGACAGGATGGAGAGGATCCGTCACTCTGAAGAGTCACTGCTAGTGGAATGGTGCATCAGAATCATTCCCCACGTTAAAAATTGTGAAACCAGCAATCATACGTAAGACAGTGAGGAAAACAAATGTCAGCTCTGGTGCCAACATAATTGTGCTCCTTTCTCTGTAGCTCTCTCTCACCCTCTCTCAGTCCTTATCCAGCTGTACACAGATCTTATTTCATAGCTTATTGTTTCAGTTCGCATCCGATCTTGCTACTCAGTTGCCACAATTCTTTTTTTTTTTTTTTTACAGCTGTAGACTATGCCATTAAGAACCTATATTACCTCACAGGTGTTTGGCTAACATGCAAGGTAATATGGGTTCTTGGTGCAAATTCTAACTAGAACTGTGATACAGTAGGCAGGTGGGTAAGTATGGGCACCGCGAGGCAGCAGTGCCCTCCACAGCAGAGAAGGCAGAGGCAGAAAGAGGACAGCTCGGCGATGTTTACTGCACATAGTAGGTTATAAAGGCCCTTTTGTGCCGATGGACAAAGTGACCAGTTAATTCTCTCCAACCTCCCCTCCAATCCATTCTTTGCCACCAGAATGAGCTCTGTAGCCAGTGTAAACCTAAACATACGACTCCCGTGTTTGAGGCACATGGGCGCCTCCACATAGACTGCCCTCTCCCCCACTCCTACACGTGTACTTCCTGGTTAGCCTTCCCCACCCAGCCTTGGGTTCTGTGCCCATTTCCCACCTTCTCTAGACCACACTCTATGCATTCGGGACCTCTGAGTTTCTGCTCAAATGGCCCTGATTTTGTTTTGAGAGCCCGCACAGGGCTCTTCCTGAGATCCGTGTGAGCTGGGAGCCCGCATCACATACACAGGGCCTTTTACAGAACTGGAGGGGAGGGAAAAATGGGGCTGAGGATGGGTCAGGAATCTGCATTTGTACCCTTGTCCCGAGTCCCACAAATGTCAGGCTGCCTAGAGGCAGCCCTGCCGAAAGGCCTAGCTTATATGCCACCCCTCCCACAAGCCGTTTCTGATCCTCCAGCTATTTATCTTTTGCCATCGACACCCCTACAGTGCTAAATTCATTGCCTGCTTGGTTTTCCTCACTTAATGCTTACACACCTATCATTGTCCCCATTTTAGAGATGAGGAAACAGAGGCAGGGAGAAGTTACATAATTCGCCTGGTGTGGGAAACTGATATAGGGTTAAGCCTCAGACTGACCTACTGGCAAAGTCACAAACAAGTCCCAGCTTAGAGGGCTCAGTCTCTAAGCATAATTAGGCTTGACCTTATAACACTCCCCAGATCTTACCTGGGAAGCTAATGGGCTGAGGGAAGTGCAGGGAGTGTAAACATGATCAAAACAGGTGAAACTCACAAGAACTGTAACTATGGTAACCACTGCATTGTTTACTTCAGACTATAAAAGGTCAGTGCGGACTGAGCACGGGTGGAAGTCCTTCCTCTTGAGTGGGGCTTACCCGCCTGGTCCCCCAATATTTCCAAATTATCTCTTGTCTTTTCTGTTTCATTTGTGTGTGGCTCCTCTTCCAGATCCTGAACCCTGAACCACGAGGGATGTGGGAGGAAACATTTACGACAGCCTGGGATCACACAAGTGGGTAGACCAGGGGTTTCAACCCAGGTATGCAACTTCAGAGTCCTGTGTTCTTATCTACTAAGATGTATTTGTGCATTTATTGCGTCAAATCCTATGCTGGGTCATTCAGAGAGGGTGATGGCTAGAAATTCATTACTAATCCATTTCATTAACCAACCAACATTTGATGAATGTCTTTTCACTAGGGCTGGGCAGGAGACAGCAAGACAAAGATGTATAATATTACTAAATGAAAATGAGTGACAAGAAGAAGAGTATAGCAGGGCAGGAGGATGAAGAGTACTTGTGGGCGTGAAGGTGCAATTTCAGATATTGCTGTCAGAGAGGAAACCTTCCCTGAGAAGATGGCATTGGAGCAAAGATCTGAGAAATGACAACTCCTTGAGCGCAGGAAACGTGTATGTTTTGTTTGAAGCTGTATTCGCACTGGCCCATGGGAGGCACTCCATAGTAATTTGTTGGATGAATGAAGGAAAGTGATGGAGGAGGCTATGCGGATAAGGTGGGGGAGAATGTTATAGGCAAAGAAAACAGTGCAAAGGCCCTGAGGCAGGGGGGTATGTGGTGTGTTCCTCAAACAACAGAGGCCAGAGTGGCTAGAGCTGAGTAAACACAGGAGAGAAGGAGCAGAGAGGTCAGGTAGAGGCTGTCTTCAGAGCCACTGTGAAGACCTGAGTTTGAGTCTCAATGAAATGCAGAGACACCCAAGGGTTTGAGCAGAGAAGTGATGGAATCGGACTTGAGTTTTCACAGCATCATTCTGGGTGATGCTGGACAGTAGACGGAAAGAAGCAAGTGCAGAGGCAGAAAGGCCACTGTGATAGCCAGGTCCTGTTCCGGGACCCTGAAAGCTGACGAATATACCTGGGAATCCGTCCAGTGCAGTGACTACCTTCGTTGTGCTCCTTACTCTCTTTCGGTGCTTAGTAAAAAACGCGAATTTCAGCTCCCATCCCCAGAACACCTGGTCTGGTGAGTCTGGATTGTGGTTAAGATCTGCCTCCCCTCAATCCCTTGATTCCGAAGCGAGTGGTTCTCGGAGCGCAGCTGGAGATGCGCTGGAACTTAAATAGTTCACATCTGATGCATTAACCACGGGGCACGCATTCCCGCGGCTGTGGGCGTTGGAGAGGGTGGGTAAGCTGCACGCAGGGCCTCCAGCTGCGGCCCAGGTGAGGGGCAGGACCCCTCCTGCCCTGAGCTTTCACAAAGCGGGGTTCTCCTTCCGCCTCTACCCCCTTTTCAGGGCACAGGGAGGGCTGGTCCTGGGAAGCGGGGGACACGGGGAGTGGGGCGGGGCCGGCGGGATCCCCGGGAGGGAAGGGGCCCCGTGG